AAAAATGACCAATTAAAAACAAGTAGGAAAAATATTTATACAAACTAATTATATAAAAAACGAGGAAAAAGTAACTGTGGCACCTCGATTTTAGCAAAAATACGTGCATTCGAAATTGAAACTTGCCGGAAGTTTGGAATTTAAATTGAAAATTTATTCGGATCTTTTCTGACTCTATCGTTCTACAAAACTTTTACTTCAAAAAGAATGAGAAAAAAGAATTGTCAAAGTCTGCTGATTTTTTATTCCGCTAAGAAAATTAAAATTTAAGATCCAGTTTTGAAACTTAAAATCATATAATTTGTTCGCGCCGCTTGCATTTTTGATTTTGAAAGTGTAATTAGTCTTCCATTTAGCAAAAGAAACAAAATAAATTCAACACTTGAACAAATCTTTAAACAAACAACTAAACAAATAAGAAAAATAGCAAACAATCAGTCAGAAAAGTTTCAATGAGGTCCAGGAAAAAAAATTGCTTGTTTTTTGAAAACAACTCAACTTTCCAATATCATAAAAATTTCTGGCCTCAAAGTTTTTTAATTTCAGACGAAAAATTTAGGATTGGCTGTTCAAAAAAGAAGCTAAAACTGAGATTAACTTTTTAGCATAAAACGGAACATCACTGCTCATATATTAGGGTAAGCCCCTCACCGGTATCAAATAGTTGCTCGTAAAATTGGATTTTTGAAAAAGTATCAAAGGGGGGACCCTTTGGGTCGGCAGGGGGTCCAATCCCTGAGGAGGCGTCCGCCCCCCCCCCCCTAAATCCGCTCCTGCTTGTATGCAAAACGAAGGTGCTGAAAAAAATCTTCTTATCTTTCGATAATGATTGTAAGTAAAAAAAACTCTTTTGGTAACAATTGCCACAACAACTTTCATCAAAGAAGAAACAAATTTTGCGACTGCAATAAATTTTCATAAATTTGTATTACAATTGAAGTAGGCCGATTTTATAGGGACTTTTGTCCATTCTTTCTCTGCGTTCATTCTTCATGTTCGATCAATGATTCGACCCTATTTGACTCATGATTCGACCCTGATGAACCCATGCTTCGACTTTGTTCGACCCATAATTCGACCTTGTTTGACTCTATCGACCCTTTTCGACTCTATCGAGCCTGTTCGACTCTTGATTTAACCCTGTTCGACCCCTGATTCGACTATAGCCTTGGTTCGACCGTCCTAATTTGCGACGAAAATTGGACATCGTTCGACCGTGTCGGTGGAATCATGAGTCGAACACCTCAGTCCGGGATGGGGCCACATTTATGAAAATTTGTCGCCCCCATGTTAAAAGACAACGCATTTTATATCACTCAGTGTAAAACCCTGCACGGGTCGTGATTCAAAAAAACTGCACAGGTAGTGATTCAAGTTCCAAAAAATGACCAATTAAAAACAAGTAGGAAAAATATTTATACAAACTAATTATATAAAAAACGAGGTAAAAGTAATTGTGGCACCTCGATTTTAGCAAAAATACGTGCATTCGAAATTGAAACTTGCCGGAAGTTTGGAATTTAAATTGAAAACTTATTCGGATCTCTTCTGAGTCTATCGTTCTACAAAACTTTTACTTCAAAAAGAATGAGAAAAAAGAATTGTCAAAGTTTGCTGATTTTTTATTCCGCTAAGAAATTTAAAAATTAAGATCCAGTTTTGAAACTTAAAATCATATAGTTTGTTCGCGCCGCTTGCATTTTTGAATTTGAAAGAGTAATTAGTCTTCCATTTAGCAAAAGAAACAAAATAAATTCAACACTTGAACAAATCTTTAAAAAAACAATTAAACAAATAAGAAAAATAGCAAACAATCAGTCAGAAAAGCTTCAATGAGGTCCAGGAAAAAAAATTGCTTGTTTTTTGAAAACAATTCAATTTTCCAATTTCATAGAAATTTCTGGCCTCAAACTTTTTTTAATTTCAGACGAAAAATTTAGGATTGGCTGTTCAAAAAAGAAGCTAAAACTGAGATTAACTTTTTAGCATAAAACGGAACATCACTGCTCATATATTAGGGTAAGCCCCTCACCGGTATCAAATAGTTGCTCGTAAAATTTTTTTTTTAAAAACTACAAATTTTGAACAGTATCAAATGGATCAAGTGTAAAAGTCTGAGTAGTAGAAAATTTACTACGACCGAAATTATTCTATGATATCTTCAGGGGTTGAAACTTTTTGGTAAAAACTATCTTTTCAACCGCTGAAGTTTGGCTGAAAAAAAAACAAATTTGAATATTCTGCAATTCTTCGAATGTCAGAACGAAAAGTTTTTCAGTGGTACTTCTGTTGACTAAAAAATTCTGAAATTCTTAAAAATTTTCTCAAACCTGAAGTCGGTTTCTGAAACGAACAAAAATACATGTAAAACAGGTTGGAAAAATGTAGAACTTCAAAACCGAAAAAAAATGGTGGAAAAATTTGAACTTTTATCAGCGTTCGATTTTCAAAGAAAAAACTATATCAAATTGAAGCTCTTTCAGGGTAAATTTATGATTGACACGTTTTTGACAACATTTACCAAATTAAGCTTTTTGTGAGAGAAAATAGGGCGTAGCCGCTTATGCAGAAGAACTTCACGCAAACTATAATTGCGATTCAATCAGAAAAACATTAGATTTGGGAGAGTTCTCGAGAAAATTCAAAAACTTTAAAAAAAAAGGTTTAAAAATAACATTTCCAAGGGCTGTAGACTTTTTCGAAGCCTGTAGACAGAGAGATCAAGTAAAAACAAGACTAAGGGTGCATGCAAGAACACAAAGGAATACGCTTTCTTTCCATTGATACCCCTTTTTTTTGAAAATTGGCAGAATAGTTTCTCAGAAAAAAAATGAACATTTCTGCACTGTTGTGAAAAAAGTTTCCAAAGCCTCTCAAAAAAGAAAATAAGAAAACCCAATCACATACATTTTCATAAAACCTGTTTTTATCCAATAAGAATTATAGACATAAGGTCAAGCGAGACATTTGATTTTTATAATAGCAACGGAACAAAACTTACGAAGCGGAAACAAAGCCGAAAATTTTAGAGCCGACACCATTTGAGCCGAAGAAAAAAAATTAAAAAGTTTGAAACGCTCCTTAAACAAAAACGAACAACACTTGCAACTACCATGATACTTGCAGTTAGCACAAGAATATGGCAATTAAGCCGACAAAACTTGAGCAGATGAAAAAAATCTATTGACTACTTATAGAAATAAAAAACAAGGTCCGGCCGGTATTCGAACACCAGACTTTAAGTTAAAAAAGCAACGGCGTTACCTCTAGGCTAAGTGCGAAGTAACCTGGAAGTTATTAAGGTTCAGTAGTAAAGCAAGATGAAAATTTGTATAAAATTTGTTTGCGGGAAAAAAGTCCCGATTACAAGACACTTGCTTTCGCAAGTGTAAAAAGTTGCAAGAAACTAAAACTCGTATTTATTCATGAAACGAACTTGATACTTTTTGATTCAAAACAATACACATTACTGAAAGCTGCATAAAACTATATTAAATTTAATTTAAAAAAAACTCAAAACCAAGTTGAAAATTAAGAAAATACCAACTTCTCAATTGAGTCAAGATTGATTAAAATTTTAACCCTCCCCATACCTCACCAGTACTAATTCATCATTTAAAAACAGTGCCAGCAGACGATAACAAAACCAATTAGGCTCAACTTCAATCCTTAAAATTAATTAGAAAACAAATAGGCAATGAATTAGTAGAAATTGACGGAACAGAACTTTCAGTAGCAGACAGAATAATCAGTTAAAGCTAGTCTATCCTATCTATGAATGGATCCAATTCCCCAGAAGTTATCCAAAAGGTTTTAGACAAGTATGAAAACACATATTTAAAATAACGAATTTATAAAACTTTTTATTATTTCTATTAAAATTTTACGACCGTGATTGTACGCCCGTGGCTCTGAAGTTGCACAGTGTTCCGACCACGCTGATTTAGAAAAATAAAAATCAATTATCCGGGAACCTTTTTAATACCAAAATTTCTGCTAATTACTCGTGTCTAAAAAACCTGTGAACTTTTTTATCGTAATGATGAGATAAATATGCCTGCCGTATTCTGGATATAGTCATGTGACTCAAATTTGCTTTCTGGGCAAACACTCGACTTGTAAGTCCTCGTAAAATCAATTCACACAAATATGACTGCATTGACGCTCCAACTGGCTTCATTTCGTTGGATTAGGTAGATCTTTGATATCCGATATGAAAACGAAAAAAAAGGAAAAATTTGAACGATTTAAAACTTGGCGAGGAAAAGCAAATGAAAAATCAAGCTAAGTGTGAAAAAATGAAACAAAACTGAAACAGTATTGAACAAAATTGAAACCTTCGTGAAAAATGGGGTATAAACGTTAGGAAGATAAATTCATGCGTGATGCATTGATTAATGCCTGCAAATTAAGCATGCAAAAAATAATGAGCGAGTTTTTAATGGTTAAGACTGTGTGAGGGCTGAAGTAAAATTTTGAAACATTGTTACAGTTTTATGAGACACTGTAAGCATTCTCAAGGACGCGTTCACTCCACACTTAAAGGGAAAGCTATCTGGAAGCAATCTCTCATAATAAAGCAAGTTGAATTTCTAGCAAAAATGTACGAAGCTGTTATATGGAAAAAAAACTAGTTCCAGATTACAAAGTTCCAGATTTGTTTCGCTTAAGTAATAGAACATCAATAATTTATAAGTATCCAAATTTAATAAAATCTGATATCCCAAGTTGAAGAAATAGTTGCCTACTACAGACTTCGAACATCACACCTGATGAGTTAGCTAGGCCAACCTATCTCCCTATACTATGTGTACAAGCAAAAATGAATTCTCGTAAATTGACCGTATATACACTCATGCAATTAAATATGCCGATAAAAAAATAAATTTTAAATTGTACAATTCAAAACAGTATAGGCAAACTGGTTTTATTGCCCAACTGTTGCTTGCGTAAGCATTTCAGCCTCAACTTTTTCTTTGGTTCGAATACTGGTTACTTACCTGTAACATGCATAGCATCCTCCGATCAAAATTCCAGTTCCGACCATTTTCCTCTTGTGCTTTTTGAAGAAAGTGGCCATGTCTACTCTGGAAATATTCACAAACTGCCGGCTGTGCAGTTGAAACTGGTATATTTATTGTTTGGAACATTTGATTAAATTCAGCAACTTTGTTCTTTCATAAAGTTACATAAAAGTCAAACTTTCCTCAAATAGCCGCTTACAATTGAACCAAACAAATTCAACTACTGACGATGAGAGTTGCCGATGATTGATCTTAAGTGGCATTTTTGCTAACTTATTATCTACGGGGACCGTCCTACTAACACACGTGCCGATAAGCATTCGAGTATTAGCGGAATTAGAAATGAGGTTGTTTGCTCCCATTTAGAAATAAAACTCCGCTTCAAAAAGTAATGAATTTAATTGGGCATCCTAAGCGCCACTCATGCAATTCGCTACACCCCCAAACCTCAGAGTTCCTCTCTCGCGGTCTTCCAAAAATTGTAAATTGACCGGTTATTCGCCGCAATATCTGACAACAGACCATGACGCATAAATTGAATTTTGAAATAAGCGTTTTTTGAAGTTTTCTCATTCGTGATAACGTTTTTAGTTTAATTCCATCAAAATTGTAAGCTTTGCAATTTATATTGCACGATCAAAATTTTAATTGATCATTAAAATATAAATAATTTTTCTAAATAGAAAACTATTGGAACTTCAGATTAAAACTTAAATATAAAAGCTCATCACTGAAATCAATCGCACCGCTATGTATTTCCAAACGTTAAAAGCCAACTTTCGGGCTTAAAATTACCGACGATAAGCTATTTACCCTCGATGTAAAACTCACTCATGCTCGAGATCAACTTCGCCTATAGAAAAATGGAAAACTGAAAAATTCAATTTCGGTATTCAAAATACTTTGACAACGAGCGATCTGTCTTGACATATAATCAACAAATGGAGAAATATATAATACATACTGTACGTTGTATCCATTTCAAGCGACAAAAAATAATCTATAACATAAAAACAAGCCACCTCCATTCTATAGCACACCTATTACACATAGCATGGCATAAAACCGGTTCTGAGGTTGGTTTTCAGGTATCGAGAAAGGAATTTGGGTTAAAATTGAGACTGGAAACAACTGAAACGATAAAGATTCAATCAAACGGCGACAGATTCCGACAGACATCGCCGCAAGATGAAAAAGTTTTCTGACAGAAAAATGAACGCACAGAAGAATCGAAAACAAAATCAAAATTATAAATCAGTTTATATAATTCTATCTCTCGTGAATGTCAATGAAAACAAAATTTTCAACCTAAAAACTTTCCGGATGAGTTTTAAGCGCATAAACAGCCACTGAAGCAGCAATTGATACTGTTATACAAAATAAGTGTTGATTCTAATTTAGAATTCGGTGCAAAGCAAACAGTCTTCCTTTTCCAATCCCAGCCTAAGCCCAAGAGTACTAAAGGTGCAGCTGCGGTGTTACGTGGAGTACGAATGATGAGTTTTGGATCTAGTCTGACAATGGGCGACTCTAATGGTCCGTTACTGGGTGAAGAAGGGAGGCTGTACTGCTGGATTGAAAGGAGCCAGGTTCGAATTGTTCGACTGTTGAATCTGAGGTCCAGTGCTGAATGTCATCATCGGCACACTTCCAGGTGGAGGCTGAAAAACAAGACACAACTTTAGTTTTTACTTCCATTAACATAGAAAAGCCTCAAAAACTGAAACACCACAGGTTTTGACAACAGATTTTTCGGTCAACGAGTTAATATGAAGCGAACTACTTCAAAACTGGTCATTTGACGCTGATAACTAATTAGAACGCATTTTATCGTGTACAAAATTTGTTGCTCAAAAATAAATAAGTCTTTGGGCACTGTTTTTCGACCGATTAAAGCACTCAAGGTTGCCAATATTGCCAGCAATTTGTCCTTGATTATAAAGCAAACTCCTACAAACTAAGCGATCCAAAAGTGAATCGAAACAAGTCTTACCATGGCACCCGGCGGCAGCGTCACAATATGTGCACCTGGAGGAGCCACCGCACTCATGGCCGACATCTGATGCTGCATCTGCTGCATCTGTGGCTGCTGATTCTGACTCAGTCCAAACTGGGACCCCGAGGCACCCATGGTTGCCGTTGAGGTCATCGATGACCCGATTGGGACAGGCGCTGCTGCACTTAGTGCTGGTTTGGGCGATGCCATTGGAGAAGGACGGGCACTCTTGTTAGACTCTGGAGTCCCGCTCACAGTTGTTGCACTACCGTGCGGTTTCTAAAAGCAAACACTATCGTTACTTATCCCCTTGCATTCTTAGAATTCATGTTGTTCTAAACAAAAGGTGGCTAAATCGAGTCTATATTTTCATTTTAACAGTGACTATCATTTTGTAGCAAAAAAAACGTATCAATGAAAATCCATGGTTTTTTTTAATGTACGATAACAATGATTAGCTTAGTTTACCTTGGACTTGCTTTTCTGCGAGCATGTCTTCATGTGTTCGCCCCAGTGTTTCTGTTGGCACTTGTAGTCGCAGTAGCTGGTGTTCCAACAGCAGTGATACTGTGACTCTTTCAGACAGTAGGCACACTAAAATATACATCCAATCATCAACTTGCAGTATTTTTGCAAGTATTCGAAACTTGAATAATCCTATTTTGATTTCTCTTCATGATGAAAACTTTCGTGATTTAAACTCCGTTTGGTAAATCAGCTTTCGTGATGACCGAAGAAATTCAAAGTAGCCTCGGGGAGCCTTTAGAATTATAGCCAACAGACAATTAAAACAGAGCCAATGAACGCAAGTTAACAGAAAAAAATGCTGACTCGTTTTTTGAAAAAAATCCCAACCTTCGAATTTCCAAAAAGAAAACAGATGCCCATAAAGCTCTTCGAATTCTAGAACAATTTATGGTTGATACTTTGTTGATAAAAATAGCCCAATTTGAGAAAACTGGGTCAATAACTAAAATTTTTATTTCTCTGGGAAATCTGAAAATTAAATTCCACTTTCGAAACTTGAAGTCTGCCTTCCTTTTAACCCTAGAGTTTGCCTTCCTTTTAACAAAGGAAATGAGCTGAACTTAAAACGAAATCAAAAGTCACACGGCAAAATAGTAAATTTTTCATGAAAAAAAAAACAAGAAAAAATCATCGCGACCTATATAAGAGTGTGAACTACGTTCATCGACTCCAAATCAACGGTAACCCTCCCAACCGTTTGTTAGTCTTAACTTAGCTAAACATTAATAACAATTTAAAGCGCCTTCCAGAACCAGTTTTGACTCACCCATTGCTTGCGCTTGGCCTCCTTGACCTCGGCTGACCTCTCCTCCTTGAGTCTCCTTATTTCCTCTTTGTGCAGTGCACTCATATTCTTCTCCACTTCTGCCAACAGTAGCTCGTAGTGTCTCGTCAAGTCGCTCAACTGTACATTCTTCTCTCGCCTCAACTCCTCTATGCGAGCTGCAATAAAAATAATAACGGTTTACTTAAAGAAAAGCTGCACACTGAGCCCATTTGATGGCATATATATTGATGTTGTGCATTGATGATGTGCGTTGTCTACAAAATATACCTTCTGAAAAAAAATATAGTGAGATAATTTGGCAAACTGAAAACAGCCACTGATTCTTCCGCTTAGAAAAACTTCCGATCACAAATAAGGCAACTTCTTATCAAAAAGTAATAAAAAAATATTGACTTGCCAGCGAACTCGTGTCTAGTGCGGTTGAGGTGCTGTTCCTTCCGGTCGCCCTCTGCCTCTTTGAGTGCCCTGTACTTCCTCTGCCAGGATCCGATCTCGTCCACCAACTTCTGTCGCTCCTCCAGCACCTTCTGCTTCTCACTCGCCATACGCCTCATCTCAGCTAAACACAACCACACACATTAACACAGGGAGGCATTTAGGATGGGGACGCCTCTTTCTTCAGAAGTTTGATCCCACCATAAATTTAGAGGGTGACGCTTCTCTCATCAAATATTTGAACAAACCACCACCACCACCACCCAACCCAAAGGGTCCCCCTGTTACGACACCCATTTTCGGCCAAGCAACCCTAAACTTTTCAAAGACTCTTTTTTCAGATCTCTAATTTGTTAGTCGAATGAGGCCTCGGCTACAATGATATGAAAACAGCCAACAGCAATTATAGACAACAAAGAAAAAGTGTTTTTCCAAGGAATCTAGGTGATTTTTGATCTGGTTAAATTTTTTTTCATCAAGAATTCAGAAAAAAGTATAAATTAACGAAGACGGACGGAGCAGAACATTAAAGTGAAATTGATTTTAGACATTAGTATTAAGTTGCCACCCACCTCTCTGTGTGGCTGCCATTTCATCCGGAATGTCAACTTGAGCAGGACTGTCTCTGGTCTCCACTTTGCGATGCAGAGGAGTTGGAGGGTAGACTGAAGCAGGGGTCCTCCCATCTCTCACTGCTGAGGAGTTCTTGGAGGCTGGGTTGCGGTTGTTTGACAGAATGGCGTTGATAATGTCGTCTCTGGATATTGAGTCTCCCCTCGTTTGGGCTGACATGACCTGATTCACGAGGTCGCCTATCTGACCCGAGAGCTAAACATGAATAAACTTGAAAATCCTTAGAAAAACAGCCTCTCATCTTCCTTCTAAACAGCTCAGCGAAAACGTTCGAAGCAAACCATGAGAATGAAAAAATTGATTAAACCTCTTTCTAGGATAACGAGGTGATGAAAACTAAGACTGCATAATGCCCTCTCTAGGGGGCATTTCGAATATTGAAATCAAATTAAATATATATATATATTGAAAGTATAGTTGGTTGTTATGCAAGAACACAGCATGTTCCCACCATACTATCAAAAAAAATGCATCAACGTTTTATTCTTTCTTTTATCAAATTACTGTCGATTTTCCGGTGAGTGGTGTGATAGAATAATCTGGGAAAAAAAACCTAGAAATTAGGCATATTCTACAGTCATAGTAAGAGAGGCAATTTTGACTACACTTTTTGGCCAAAAAATCCAACAAAACAAAAAGAAGTTTTTTATTCCTAAGATGGCACTATAAAACTTCGAACACTTTTTACTGGAGTGAAACTTAAGTTTCACGGCTCATCATTCTATAATGAGCCTGCTCGCTCGCTTTAATCGCTCAAAATTGAATTAAAACTAGTTTGAACTAAATTGAAATTTAAATCGTTTTTCTTGACACTGACAATTTTTTCGAAATTCACGACTGAAAACGCTGACATGATGGAATCACTCAACCCATTCCAATAATTTTTCATGGTACCTGATTTTGCGTGGAAAAAAAGAGTGATGGCCGGTTGCTGTGCTAGTTTTTGTGCTAGTGGCACAAAATGTTCCGACCATTCACAACAAAAAAAACTCATTTTTGTGCATTTTATGATGAGAGAAATTATTGACTCAAGACATGTAGTAAATTCAACTTAATCGACAACATTTTCTGCTAGCTTCACGCTTTAATATGAAATATGACTTGAACGATTCCAATAGTTACTGGTTGTAACTGATTTTCGTTGAAAAACAAAATAATCCTACTCGCTCACTTTATTCACTCGATATTAGGCCACAAATCAAAAATTCCGAACCGGTTTTTCTCGACGCTGAGAATACTTTTTGGAAATTATTTAAAGACGTTCATATCACATGAAAGGGCTTTATGATTATATTTTGCTCGACCAATTCCGATGATTGTGGTAACTGACTTTGCGTGGAAAAAAAACAAAAAGTGATGGCCGGTTCCTGTGCTAGTGGCACAGAATGTTCCAAAGTGAAAAAATTTATCAAAAAAGTTAAATTTGACGGCTTTAACAAAGCATAAATAAGCTATTGTATGCCTGCTCGCTCGCTTCTTTCGCACAAAATTAGACGAAAAATTTCAAACGCGTTATTCTCTTTACAAGGAAATTTTTTGAGAAAATTTTAAGTCGTCAAAATCACGACTGATAGTGCTTTAATATGAAATATGAATTGAACGATTCCGATGGTTACTGGTTTTAACTGATTTTCGTTGAAAAACAAATTAATCCTACTCGCTCACTTTATTCACTCAATATTGGGCCACAAATCAAAAATTCCAAAGCGGTTTTTCTCGACGCCGAGAATACTTTTTGGAAAATATTCAAAGACGTTCATATCACATGAAAGGGCTTTATGATTATATTTTACTCGACCAATTCCGATGATTGTGGTAACTGACTTTGCGTGGAAAAAAAACAAAGTGATGGCCGGTTGCTGTGCTAGTGTTTGTGCTAGTGGCACAGAATGTTCCAAAATGAAAAAGTTTATCAAAAAAATTAAATTTGACGGCTTTAACAAAGCATAAATAAGCTATTGTATGCCTGCTCGATCGCTTCTTTCGCTCAAAATTAGACGAAAGATTTCAAACGCGTTGATCTCTTTACAAGGAAATTTTTTGAGAAAACTTTAAAGTCGTCAAAATCACGACTGATAGTGCTTTAATATGAAATATGAATTGAACGATTCCGATGGTTACTGGTTTTAACTGATTTTTGTAATAATCCTACTTGCTCACTTTATTCACTCGATATTGGGCCACAAATCAAAAATTCCAAAGCGGTTTTTCTCGACGCCGAGAATACTTTTTGGAAAATATTCGAAGACGTTCATATCACATGAAAGGGCTTTATGATTATATTTTACTCGACCAATTCCGATGATTGTGGTAACTGACTTTGCGTGGAAAAAAAACAAAGTGATGGCCGGTTGCTGTGCTAGTTTTTGTGCTAGTGGCACAGAATGTTCCAGAATGAAAAAAAATATCAAAAAAGTTAAATTTGACGGCTTTAACAAAGCATAAATAAGCTATTGTAGGCCTGCTCGCTCGCTTCTTTCACTCAAAATTAGAAGAAAAATTTCAAACGCGTTATTCTCTTTACAAGAAAATTTTTGAGAAAATTTTAAAGTTCTTCCAAATCACGACTGATAGTCTTTAATATGAAATATGACTTGAACGATTCCGATGGTTACTGGTTGTAACTGATTTTCGTTGAAAAACCAAAATAATCCTACTTGCTCACTTTATTCACTCGATATTAGGCCACAAATCAAAAATTACAAACCGGTTTTCTCGACGCTGAGAATACTTTTTGGAAATTATTTAAAGACGTTCATATCACATGAAAGAGCTTTATGATTATATTTTGCGTGGAAAAAAAACAGAAAGTGATGGCCTGTTGCTGTGCTAGTTTTTGTGCTAGTGACACAGAATGTTCCAAAATGAAAAATTTATCAAAAAAGTTAAATTTGACGGCTTTAACAAAGCATAAATAAGCTATTGTATGCCTGCTCGCTCGCTTCTTTCGCTCAAAATTAGACAAAAAATTTCAAACGCGTTATTCTCTTTACAAGGAAATTTTTTGAGAAAATTTTAAAGTCTTCAAAATCAAGACTGATAAAACTTAGATATGAAATATGAATTGAACGATTACGATGGTTACTGGTTTTAACTGATTTTCGTTGAAAAACAAAATAATCCTACTCGCTCACTTTATTCACTCGATATTGGGGCACAAATCAAAAATTCCAAAGCGGTTTTTCTCGACGCTTTACGATTATATTGAATTTTCAAGTTTTTGCTTCCCTACGCTAATAAACTCCAAAAACTACCTTTACCTGAGTGAAACTAAGTTTTCACGGCCTAAATTTAGCTTAAATAAGCTATTGCAACCAGTAACTATCTTACTTATTAGCTCGAAATAAGACCAAAAATCAAAAATTTCAAACCGGTTTTTCTCGACCTGAGAATTTTTTTGCATTTTCTAAATGTCGTTCGAATCACAACTGAAAGGGCTTTAACATGATATAACACTCAACCCTGTCAAATGATTATTTGCGATAGCTAATTTTGCGTGGAAAAAAAGCTAAAACACCCGAAGACAAATTTCCTCTCCATTTTCAATGGTCGGAACAAAAAACTAAATCATACCCGAATACACAGTTCATCCCCAATTTCAATGGTTGGAACAAAAATTAAAGTTTTCAAAGATACTCCCGAAACATTATTGAATGTTGTGGCTTACCCTTTCGGTGATTTTATCGACCAGTGCTTCCTCTGCCGAGGGTCCAGGAGCCAACTTGGGCGGAGTCGGCTGAGGTGTTCCCTTGACAACTCCCTTCGGTTTCGATTTGTAGGAAGACTCACTTAAAATTACCGGCTTCACATTTGCAGACGTATTGCCATGGTGCCCTGTTTTTGTGTACTGACTCGAAGAATGTTTCGAGCTGTGATGACCTCCCGAGGGACTCCCGGGTCTCGAATCCGTTCTCGGAGACTGTATCGCTTGCTTTTTAGCTTGCAAAGTTGCCGCTAGGCCTCCTGAAGGCTGTGAACTTGCGAACGCTGTAGTTTCTTTTGTCTCTTTCGAACGCTTTGAAATTGAGGATTTTGTAAACATTTTTGGATCTATTTCTTCGTCCGAGTTATATAAGGCAGGATTTTTGAACTTGGTTCTTTTGCCGCGTCCGGTTTCTTCAAGCTCAGAAACTACTGCATCCAGTTGACCTGGTTTTTTGGTTCCAACTGAACCTGAATTTGTTTCTTTTTGAGCTTCTTCTTTTGCTGAGGGACTAACTGAATTACTTGTTGTTTCGTCAACTTTTGGTGACTCCTCGATCTGTTTCTGCTCAGCTGTTGCGAGTGTTTCAGGCACTGATGTAACTTGTTCCGTTTCTTCAGTCGCGGGGCTGGAGATAGATTGTTTCAAATGTGTGAGTTCTTTAGTTGAAGTTTGTCCAACAGACGGTTCTTGTCCATTTAAAATCAACTTGGATTCTTCTCCCTGACTCGCTTCAGTGGCTGATAATGAATCTTTACCATAGTCGTTTCTTTGGTCATTTGAATCAGACCTATCTGCAGTTTTTGATACTTTTGTCTCGTCCGCTTTGGTCGAGGGAGCTTCGTCTATTTCCATTTTGACTTCAACATCGTCAGAACTATCGACAGTTGAATCACTGGTCATTGCTTCCGCATCCAACGCCTGTTCGAGGCTCTCAAGTGCAGTCGTTTCTGTGGCAATTGCGGCAGCGTATTCACTTGCTTTATCCGCTGACTCTTTATCGGGATCCACTTTGGAATCTGTATCTTCCGTCTCATCGTTGACTTTTTTGGTAACTGTTAAATCGGATTCTTTGCTCTTAGGCACTTCGGGTGTTGCACTTTTATTATTTTCTTCTTCCATCTTTGTTGAATCATCACCATCCGTCCTTCTGCTTCTTGTCTTGTTATAGGACGTTTGCGGAGTCTTCACTTCTGATTTGGCATCATCTTTAGTTGTTCTCAATTCTTTCTTCTTTGAATCTTCCTTAATTTCAACTTCTTGAGATTTTTGGATCTCCAGCTTCACCGTCTTGATTGAAGATGCTGCTGCCGACGTTGCACTACTGCTTGCCGAAGACGCCGAGGAATCACGTCTAGATTTTTTCTTTGGAGGCACATTATCTGCTTTTGTCTGAGAACCTTCCTCCTCGTCCTGAACTTTTGATCCCAGACTTAGACCTCTCTTCCCACGTGCATTTGAAGTTGAACTTGAGTCTTGCTTTTCTGTAGATTTAACTTCTTTTGTACTTTTGCTTTGGTTTAATTTTTTGGACACTGATAAGCTCAAAGTTTCGCTGTCCGACTCACTTTCCGAGGAAGAGCTATCTGAACTCAAATCAACGTCGGATAAAATGTCGTCTTTTCTACCAGATTTTGGTTTCTGTTTCTTCTCTCCACTTTTGGTTGCACTGTTTGATATGGTGTTAAGAGTAGATTGCTGTGTTTCTGCTACCTGCTTCATTAGGTCAGGCGATACACTTGGTGACTTGTCGTTCTCGATGCGAATGTCTTCTTCTATTTTGATGTTTATGGGTCCAAAGGGTTCACCAAGCGGCAACCCTTTGAACATCTTCTTGTCCGATGCCAGAGAAAAAGACTGATACTGAAACAAAGTGTCTCTACTTAGCTTCTCTTTTAAAAAATCCGAACCAATTTTGGTTACCAAGACAAAACCCAAATAACAGATACAATTAAATTTACCGTGGATAGTTCGTATTATCAAATGTCAGATAAAATTTGTGTTTTAATTAAGATCATTTATCCACGGGGGAAAGGACCAACACAAGAGCTGTACAGCTCATCACGGCGAACCGCTGTTGTGCCCCTATTTAAGAACTACATGCAATTTTTTTGGTTATTTTTCTGGGCTGGGTATTGTTGCTTCACCCTCAAGTGCTTGTTGTTTGTGCTTCACCACCAATCATATATCCATATCAATGTAAATAGCGTTTGATAGAATCCAAGCTTACCGCTTGCAGCCTCTTGATGTATCGTTGCACTTCGCTCTGCGACTCCTCAAACTTCTTCATGTGTTTCTTGACTGGTTCCGGGGGGTTCTTTGAGTAGTAGAAGATCTGGTTCAGATTAACTATGGCCCTGTCGTGCTCCCCGAAGAAGCGCACGTCGGCCGAGTTAGGGGGCTTCATCTGGAAGATCTTGCTGGGCCAGTAGGGGAATGTTCTGTATTTGGCCCATACCAGGGGGTGTGGTATTCGACAGGGGGACTCGAAGAAGTCGTCGCGAAGGAGACTATTGCAATAGCAGTCGGGACAGGCTTCGATCTACAAACGAGCATTTCTTCAACCCATAATTTATACAAAAACTGTACTACTTTTCTTGAAAAAACATATAATCATATGGAAGCTAAATGCTTTTGATGCCAGATTTCAAGAAACTAACAATGATTTCTCGTGCTTGATTCACATGCACCAAGAGCAACTAATTGATTAACTTAGCTTGAAAAATAATCAAATTTTATGCGCAACAACAAAACTAACAATAGTTCTAGAAACTTAAAACAAAACATGCCTGCGCCAGTTCCTTTTCGCAATAGGAAACCATTCGTCTCGCTGTCCCTGTAATGGGACTAGAGGGTCCATTGAAGATTGCCGAGTTGTGTTGAAACAGTTTACAATCCTGTTTGAGTGCCTCGCCACACGTATACTGAAGCGTCATCGCTTTCTTGTCCAGTTCCGACAGACTCACTGGCTTGTAGATGAACTTGGTGTAGTCCGGATATTCTGTTTTGCTCACTTTGTTAACAAACAGGTCGAAGGAGGGCGTGTTGATCAGGCGAGAGACCACTTTCTGAAGGCACATGCCAAGGTTTTCCAAACTGAGCCATGTCGCTATTCTAGAGCTCTCTTCACTGTCCTTCAAGGCCTAAAACAATCATGACCTATAACAATCTGGACTACTTAAAGCCTTCCGCCTTCCCTGGTTGAAATACGTTGGAACAGAGACGACGCAAACACAAGCGAGAGAACTGCAATAAAAGCTCCAAAAGGCAAAAAAAACAAGTGAAAATGAAAAAGGGGAAAGAAAAGGACCGCCGACCTGGAATCTATGAGCCCTCGCATCTGCAACATTTTCGCCTAACAATATGCAAGCCTAGCCAACAGACAGCTGGAACAGAGTCGATGAACGCAAATAAACAAAAAAATGACTGACTTCGGTTTTTGAATTAGAATTTCCAAGAAAAAGTACTTAAAAACTCTTTAGAACAATTTATGGTTGACACTTTTTTTGATAAAACTAACCCAATTTGAAAAAAATTAATCAATACGAAAAGTTTTAATTCAATGGGACATCTGACAATTTAATTCTTTTTTCGAAACTTGAAGTCGATCACGTCTTTCGTGACCTTTCCACTTTTGCTGTTCGATAGTTGAGTTTGCCTTCCGTTTAACAAAGGAAATGAACTCCGCTTACGAAATCGAAAATCAAATTGCGAAAAAGTAAATTTGAGCCTAATCAATTCTTAAGAATTTTCATGAAAAAAATCATCACGACCTAAATATGCGTCTGAACTACGTTCATCGACTCTTAATTACTCAAATACAAATTTCAGCAATACTCATGAATGAATTGAAGATGCAAAAAATGTTCGATCTCACCTGACACTCGTAGCACTCCCAGTTCGGATGTGAAGTGTCGACTGCGAATTTGTACTCGTGTCCCTTTTCAACACACTCTTTGTGATACACTCGAAAACAGTTATTACACGGCAACAACGTCCCCAACTCATCGCCCGACCCCTCGTGGCACAACCAGCAGTAGAAGTCTTTGTTTTGTGCCTGAAATACACATATCAATACAAAAGTCATACAGTTTGTAGCAAAAAAGTTCTGACAAATAAAACTCTTGCGTGCCAAATAGATTATATGCTCTTTATAATTAGGTTTGTCTGTACGAACTTTGATACTAATTATATTTAATATTTAAGGCTAAGTTATTGGCAATGTCCAGATTGTTCAACGAATCTGAACAAAGTCGCACACCTATAATTGCTCATTTGGACTTTAGTAATCATGTATCACTTTTTACTGCTCGTAAAAATTTGCTCGACAACCTAATTAACCGAATAGACGCCGTCTTTTGACTGGTTAAGATGCTCAATGTGACCGATATTACAAACCATTTGGCATTAAATATCTTAATTACATTAAATTCCATTAATTTACATTAAGTTTACTGGGTTCAGACTCCTTGAAACTACCGTTCCTCAAAATGACTATTTTCACAACCAAAAATTCTGCTGTTCCATCAAGAAGCCAAATCTTCCCTACAACCGTCCCAATATGAGTTTAAATCAAAAATAAGTATTGAAAAACTTTGCAGTACAAAATTGACTTACGATGATAGTTGGCTTCTTTGTTTGGAAACACTTGTCAGGAGATTTCTCGCTCGGCGTCGGACCTAAATTTAGTTCTGCATTAAAAACCAGTTTGTTGAAGCTCTTTATTTGTTTAAAAATCACAATTACTGACTTGTCTCGGGAGCTGTGTAGTATTTTCCAAAGACGTGCAAGTCTTGATAGCTGAAAAAAAAAAACATTTTGACCGTTTTTAGCCTGGAGAAGAGTGTGATATTAGTTTTAAATTCGAAGTCTTACTGAGTAGGCGCTATGCTGGTTGCTCTTCTCGCTTTCTTGTTCAGCGCAACGCCTCTAATGGGTGAAGTTGTGTTATTACTCGGTTGCGTTGTATCACTGCTCTTAGTCGTTGAAGCTTTTGTCTTCGAACTTTCGTCAGTTTTTGGTTGAACCGGAGTTGGATCTAATGACTTTGCTGATCGCCTGTTAGGGTATTTTTTACGCCCATCTGAGGACGATTTCTCAGGGCTATCGCTACTAGGATCATCAGTATTTGTCGTTGTTTTTCTGTTGACCGACCGTGAACTTTCGGAAGGCTCTGCGTCAATGTTTTCTGCTGCTTCATTTGCTGTCTTGCTGCTCATTTTTTCAGCTATAAAATAACCAAAAAATTGTTACCAGCGCTCGAGTGTCTATCATTCAGTTGACATTATCAAACTTTCCTAGTTTCAGTGAAATTTCAAACTTCATATACTAAAAGTCCACATATCACCGAATCCATTATAAGCTTTTTTTTAAAAAGTTATGGGTCTTCAGTTAACCGTAATTTCTTTTTTTTTCGTAATTCGTTATTTTTTATTTTTAACAATAGCCAAAATGACACAAATTTGGGGATTTAACCTATGTCCAATTTTCGAAAAACGTTGCACGTTGAAATTCTGAGCAACTTTGGTTTTCATCTTTCTTTGACGAAAACCAACCCGATTTTAAAAAAGTAAACTTATTTGAAGTCTTCAGACTGGTTAATATTTTCGGGATAGATTGACACAAGCGAAGCGAAGCACCGCTTGCGATGCCACTTAAGCATTGAGCAATCAGAAACATTCATTCGTGGAATGGCAAAAAGCCGAGAAAAATTGTGTATACTTCGAGACAAGTATACACTAAAATAAAAAAAATCGGTACCTGTTTCGTCCGCTAAGCTCTGATCTTGGGAGGCTGATTCAGCTTTCGGAATTTTTGTGGCATCTGCATCCGAAACCGAAGCGTCCATTTTGAGTACTTCGCTTTCTTTGCATCTAAATAATTATCTCAGATGTCGATACTATCAATTCGCTATTATTCCCTGAAAATTTAAAGCGTAATTTGACCGCTTGTTTCATATACGAGTAGTCGCCCAGAAAGGCTATTCACTAACTAAAGAAAATCTGCAGAAAATCAAAAAAAATCATTTGAACATGTTAAATCACCTTAAGGTTTTCAAAGTTGATATATTTATAAACTGACAGATAAATTGTTCCCAAAAAGCATTATAACAAGTTTTTGATGTCTCATTGCATTCCCGTCGTCAAACAACTAATCCTACACCTTCGACACAGAATAATTTTAATCGGCTACTCACATGTTTGAGTTTGAATCCATGAAGACTACCATTCAGTAAACTCTGAAAGACAGAAAAATGATAAAAACACCAACAAAACTTCCATTTCTAATTTCAACTACAAATCCGAGCGATTCAAATAAAAAGAACAGAAACTATGAAATACTTTAAATATAAACAATTTAGAACCAAAATTTTACTCATTAACTCAAACAATAAACAACGTTTTATCATACTTTCAAAGTTATTGACAGGATCAGGTATACTCGTTAACTTGTGACTCATAATCAACGCCCAAAAATCTCGGCACCCATTTCTTGTCTTTGAGCAAACTAAGTTGCTTCAGAACTTTTTCAACAGTTGTTTTGTCAACATTAATATTTTGAATCAACTTTGGGACTGATTGTTTCGTTATGCATCCTTTAGAGGTCAACATATCCGCACATCGTCTTAACAGAAGCCTCTCGTCGTCTGAAAACTCTGGCGGACGCGCGCAGTAGGCTAGCAGTATGCTGCTTTTTGTGGCCTCAATTTTGACTGGAACTTCAAAGAAATCCAGATCTCTGGCGGCTTTTCCGAACTCGGCCATGTTTAGAGTCCGGCCCATGATTGAGGATATTATGGGTCTGAAGTCGGACACTTTGATGAGGAGGTAGTTCTCCATTCTGTTGTGCATCGTTTTGATTTCATCCTCTGAGAGGAACTTCTCTGAGCCAGCCACTGACTCGCTTGGGCTGGAGTGAGTTCGTCTGTACGTTTCAACGTCCACTAAACCAAATGTTCTACATAGCCAACAGCAAGCTCGAAACACTGCACCAAAATCAAATTTTTTGAACGAAATTACCTTAAAAAAATTGAACCTCAAAACACTATTTAGGAACCAAGTTTCAAACAAATTGGTGCTTTCGTCCTTTCCTTTCATTTTCAAAACCAGACTTGAAGAAAACGGGGAAAAATAACACAAAGAGGAAGTTCCAAAAACCACAGAATTTCATGTTATTCTAAATTCATAGACCAACAAAACCATTAAAATATGTCAACCAACAATTGCAAGATGCATGAGAAACTTTACTTTTATCTATAATAGCATTGATGTCGTCGCGTGTTGCACCCGTCTTCGAGGAGTTCCGTCTTCGCCTCCGCTTTTCCCCTCCTGGCGATGGGGAGCCTCCTCCTCCCCCACTCGAATCAGTGGACACATTCCGCATTCTGATATGTTGTCTTCTCGTTGGAGACACATCATGTTTGAATGTCAATCCCAATTCAGTGCACAACTCTTGCCCCTTTTTGTACCAAAATTGAATGTACTCATCACGCACGCTCTAAAAGCACTCCTTTAACTTAAAAAATTAGATTATCTTACATACTATCAGCAAGGTACTTTTGCGATACTTTTCACTCAAGTGCTAATTTAAAAGCATACCCTGTTGCTGTCGAGGAAAAATGTATCGACAGGGTAAATGAACTCCCATCCCGTCTCAGAGTTCAACTGGCTGATGGCTTCCAAAATGCCCCTCACTTCTTCCCCAGGCAGCTAGAAAGAACACATTTATTCTTTATGTCGACGCACACACAATTTTAATGAAACGAATTAGAACAAGGATAGCCAGTTGCTGTGCAAGTAGCACAGAAAGTTCCGGTCACACAAATAATATATATACGCAAGTGAACATAAAAAACACTGACTTTGTTGAAAAAATCTCACTTTCGAATTTCAAAAAAAAATAGATGCCCTTTAAGCTCTTTGAATTTCTCGAAATTTTTACAATCGGCGCTTTATTGATAGCATTAATCCAACTTGAGAAAATTGGACCCATGGGTAAAGTTTTTATTCACGTTTTTTCGCGCCATTTGCACGTTCGTATTTGGATAGTGCTATTTACGTCACTTTCAGCAGATGAATTTCAGTTGAACTCAAAAAGTGCATATATTTCTAAGTGCATCGATATTTTAAGACTTTTTGCTGAAAAAAAATCAGCAAGACCTATATAAGAGTCTTCACTACGTTCGTTACTCTTTAACACAAAATGTAAACCGGTTTTTCTCTGCAGTGATTAACTTTTTTGGTGGATATATTTTGGAATCACGACTGCCACGGCTTCAATATGATATATCGCTCGACGTCTTCCGACAATTACTTGCGTACTTCCTGATTTTCCGTGGAAAACAAAAAAGAAACTTAAACAGGGATAGCCGGTTACTGTGCAAGTAGCACAGAAGGTTACGACCATAGTCTTTAAAATTAAAAAAAAAACTTTTTTAAATTATAGTTTTTTCTGCGAGGTGTGATAAAAGAATCTAACAAAAAACTAGAGCTTAGGCCTATTTGATACTCATAGTTAAAAAAGCAAATTAGAAAGAAAACAATTTTTGTAGAAAAATGACTAGAAAAAAATCAAAATTTCAAAGTCGTGCGGCTTTTTCTGCGTAATGTGACAAAAGGATCAAAACAAAAAACAAGAACTTATATCCATTGTAAAAATTTATCGCAAAGGTAAGACATCCATTTTGGGGCGAACTATCCTAAAACGTTTTCTTCGCGCAAACAAACTTTGAGTGAAAGGGGCCATAAAAAACGCATTTTTTTGGTCAAAACCTTTCCAAAAATGTTCAAATGTCATTTCGGCCTGCTTTTTCAAAAACTCAAAAAGGTCTTCAAAAACTCAACTTTTGACTAAAAAAAGGTCTTCATTGTGAACTAGAAAGGCGCGAAAAATAGCTTCAAAAAAATTGAACAATCGAAAATACCTCCCCATCCAGAAAAAAAATAGATCAGCCTCTATGACTGACATCTGCAGTAGAATAATAGTAGAAAAAAATTGACAGGGTGGCTTCATTTCAATTTGCCACATTTTAGTTTTTGAAACTCTCACTTTAGTGTGAGAGCACATTTCTTTCCGCATCACAAAACCATGTTTTTCAATTCGCCACAGAATGTAGTCACGACCACGTCGCATCAGATCAGCGCTTATTCCACACGCAGAGCTAACCGACTTCTCGGGGTACAAAATTTCACTGTTTATCACCCAACATCCACGAACTAAAACTGCCACTCTCTTCAAACAGCTGACGACATTGTCTTTCTCCGCTCTATTGCCCAGAAGAGTTATCAATTGGGAATACTTAACAACAAATGCGTTTCTCAGAATTGCAATGATTTTGTTCAAAATTGACATGTTTTTCAGGTCTTCTACATTGAGCACTGATGATGGCTCGTAGGGTATCGAAACATTTTTCGTCGTTGCTGTGTCCTCTGAAGGAAGTATAGCATTCAGATAGCTTTTACAACTGAAACGTCATATATTTCATCAAATAATTGCAAGCAGTCTTTCAAAAACGATCAAGTTAACTTAAATTCAACTCTAACCTGAAATGTACTAATTGTTTCGAAGACAGATTTGGCTGCTTGAGGAACAACTGTGTAATTATATCTCCGGCTGACGTGAAATTCAGAAATGTGAGAGGCAACCAAGGCTCTTCGTCTCTTATTTCTTTCAAATAAGGATACGTTTGTTTTCGTTTAGCTTTAGACTCTAGGGATTCGTTCTTCCCAAACTTCACAGTAATTGCTTGTGCTTTACGAGCCGGTTTGTCTGTTGATTCGTCCTGAGAAGATGATTCGTCTTGTTTCTGACCAGTTGCTGCTTCCTTTTCCTTTTTGCGCCTGGCTTTGTCAATAGCGTCGATGTGGTCGTAGCTAGGCACCAGTTGAATAACTCCTGACACTAAAAAAAAGGATCTACTTAACAATCTTTTCGACCAATCAGAATGCAGCAAAATAAGAATTCTCAATACAAAGCTCTAGTGCTAATTCAAAGGTATTTAATTTTAGGGCTGGAGATTCTTTTTGAAACCATAGGGTGGGGGAAAGATTGTTAAGGATATCCCAAAAAAAAACATACATTTTCGATAATCAGTAATAATCCAAACATTAATTTTTGCCATTTAAACGAAACAACATAAGTTGACTAAGACGAAATATGTTTTTTCGTCTTAGTCAACTTATGTTGTTTCGTTTAAATGGCAAAAATTAATGCTTGGATTATTACTGATTATCGAAAATGTATGTTTTTTTTTGGTATTAAAGCTTACACCGTTATTAAAGAAATTTCAGAATCCGAGTTGGATAATTGAAACAGAGGCCAAGCCGAGCTTTGCACCACTTGCGATACAATACAAAACAACCACTAAATCGAAAAGAAAAACAAATCTGCCGAAATCTTTCAAAACGAATTTAAAAAATCAAAAATTCACACCACGTTAAAAAGCTGTAAAAAATCCGAAAACACCAGAGAGTAAACCCTTTAAGCTAAAAAAAATTTGAAAACTGATAAAAAAAAGTTTTTATCCCCCCATTCCTCTCAATGCACACAAGCAAACAAAAAGTTTTTTCGCTCATCAAACGACAAAATATGAAGCCAATAAGCCGATATAAAATAGGCCGAAATCTATTCAACTGAAAAGAAAAAAAGGTGAAAAAACCGGGAAAAAAATGAAATTCAAAAAGATTAAAAAAATGTTTAAGTCCCATCATCTTCATTACACACACGTACACATCTGTTTTGCTCATTGAAGGACGCAATATGAGGCCCATAAGCCGAAATAAAACAGGCCGAGAACTTTTTAAGCGAAAAAATAAATAAAAAAAACGAGTTGTTAAAATTACAACCAACCTAAAAAACAAATTTCGAATAGGACAGAAAATTTTAACATAATCAAAAAATTTCTGTGGCAGTTTCCAACAGAGAGACAACTGCTGCAGTTCAGAGTGCAATGTGCTGAAAATGGAGATCTTGGAATAGGAGATTATCCTATGGACAAATGTGTTCACGGGGGAAAAAGTCTAGTACCCTATTTCAATACCCTTGCTTATCGCAAAGGTAAAGAAATCATTAGTAAACCTTTCTTTACTAATAATAGCAGAGAAATGTTTAAATTAGAACAAAATCTCCATGGTTTGGAAATTCAGCCAGAAAAATAAGCAGACAAAAGAAAGTCCGATAATTCATTTTTTTTTCAAGAAAAAAAATCAATTTCCAACGTAGTGAAAAAAACAAGGCCCCAC